GTTATGTTTTGTCTCTTTTGTATTCAGTGGCGGGCCAGCAGGGTTGCAGGGGGCTTAAGTTCCCCCCCCCCATCGGTCTGGTCAAGGCCCCCATCGGCCAAAGCTCGTCGGGCAGCTGGGGTGGCGCCAGCGAGGGTGGGGGCCGAAAGGCAGGTCCCCGTCAGGGAAAGCTCCCCCCCCCCCCGTCAGGGAGAAAAAGCACAATTCGTCGGGAAGAAAAAAATATTATATGTACTTACATATTAGTAGACTATAAAATCGATTAAATAAACTTTTTCGGGGCCTTCGCCCCCAGGAACACTTTCGGAACCTATTAATCGAAGCTCGACCACGCCCACTTTGCTGTCATCGGAGAAATCTGACACCTCATCGGGGACCTCGCCCCCCCCCCACGTCCGGCAAATCCTGGCGCACCCCTGAATGAATGACTTTGAATTAGAGCACTGATTTGCAAATATTCGGTTAAACTGGGAAGCAATTGCAAAGGAGTCAGCGATGCTGTACCATTTTTTAAGTTACTAAGTATCAACTTTTTTAAGTTACTAAGTAACGAGTAACTTAGGTTATATTTTGTCTTTGTTTTTGTTAAATTTTCTTTCATTGTATTGTATGTTATTTCATTGGCTGAATAAAGAATGAATGAATGAATGTGTTCTGAATATTTTTTCTTAGCACGACGTACCTGTGATCTAACCCACCCCTTTTAGAACTTCATCCATGCATGTTTTTATCATTAAACTAAGCACATTGTTTCAATATTATTAAACGTTTTAATTCAGGGCCAAGCCATTTGGCATCATTTTAATGCTTTCTAATGGTGCGAAAACCCAGACTACTTTTTCTGACGTAGTAGCGACTGTAATTTTCCTATAGAAACAGGATCTGTACGAAGAACTTTGATTTTAGAGTTGTGTATTCCAGGTCTGGTTAATAAAAATGTCAAAGTGACACTGCTTTGTAGTCGCAACGCCCAAGCCAGCTATGAACGTCAACGTTTTGTGACGTTACCTAGTTGACTTAATTCAATGTCCAGAATGTTATTGTCCCTGGTAGTCTTCGTTACGAACTGACAAAAATCGTTAGCGTTTTTAAACGTTCAGAATTGATCAGAAGTAGAGCATCAAAATCCGCACAAAGTATGATGTTTAAGTGAAGTCCAGCTGACATCCAAGTAAGCATTTGAAGCGCATTATATAGCACAGCTGTTTGTTATATCCAGGTGGCCGGTATACTGACATTTACAGTAATTAGTAAGTATTCAACGTTTAGGTCACAGCTGTATTTTATGATCTATGGCAATGATTTGATATAGTATGGCAAGTCCACTGCCTGTAAAAAACACTCAGTCAGCCCGGATTTGATTATATCCAGGAATCTGATATAGAATTCGTCGTCCTAACTTTGATGCCAAGTTTCTGTAATATATCCGGGTTAGTGCTAGTAGAAGACAATAATATATCAGCGTGTTTGTTGTGAATGCTTCTTAAGTTTTGTAACAAACAATATTATAGCTGAGGCTTACGATTTTTACCTGCGCGGCGGGCATTATTTTTTTCCCCATACAGTTCCGGCAGAAATGATAGAGGGCACAATTTAAGGTAAT